ACTTGAAAAGTACCATTACGTCGGGAAATAAATATATACATAAATCCTTGTTACATTCAAGCCAATCAATCAATTTCACACAATGCTGATTATGTGTCTGGGACTTTAACGTGTTACTTATGATTAATTAATTACAGAAAAAATAATGCGTTAAAAAAATGAACAACTTCCCACTGTGAGAACCGGAGAACCCGGTCTAAGAAGTCTCATGGCGTTGATAACACCCTGGATACCAAGATCGTCCCAAAGTGCAACCACAAGGAGGAGACTCACATCCTTATTGTGGAAGGCTTCCTGACCTCTGATCAACGTGCTGAACCAGCGTTACTTTATTTCCATCGCATATGAAGGAAAGAGGAGGTGCTATAGGAACCACACAGCACCAGACGGCCTGTCCGATGGCCACGTCTGGTCCATGTATTTGCAACACGAGACCATCAAACTTTCACCACTGATGAAAAATCACAGCAGAGCCCGGCAGCGACTACTCCTCTAAAGGTGAGGGTGACTGAGAATTTACTTGTATTCAAACTCAACAAGAATTTGCTTTGGGCGCCATTTGTTGGTAATCCCTCACAGGTTTGCATGGATGAAAATTTACGAGTATGCAAACTCGTTGCGGATGAGTGCGTGGACGCAAAAAGCACCAATTGGCCTTTAGCCTTAGTGCTAGGTAAAACGCTTTGTGTTTCTCGGAGCTGAAGAGGGGAGCAACTGTGGCGATAGAAGTGAGCTCGCAACCAGGATTATGACAGAAAATCTGTGGTGTCCATAATTGGCTTTTTGCCAAGATCCAATATGCCGATAATGTCCAACTCTCAATTTCTGATTCCGATGTCAACCGATACTGATACCCATATATGTGGGCTATTTAACTAATTTTAGGTAACATCACATATCTCCTGTCGTGGAATTAACACATCATGTAAATGTGGCAGGCATTATCTTTTAAAAAACGCTAACGACATTGACAGATATAACATTTTCGTGCCAATATCAACCAATATTGGTGGGTCGATGTTGTCGGACGTCCCTACAGAAAATCTAAGAAGAGTCCAGAAGAATTTCTGATGGGCCATATTTAAGTGAAACTTGGTATTCTGGGGGTGGATTGCAGTCCTAAAATGACAGCGATCATAAATCATAGGCATGCAGTGTTTGTATAGTTACTGTCATTGCCAGAGGGAGGGCACAAAATTACGCAATGAATGTTTAAATGTAACCGTAGACTACAGAGTCAAGTAGAACTTTATAGTTGTACATTTGAACAGAATTCTGTAAAAGTGAAGTTTCAATCACAGTAGCAGCAAAAGCACTTTTATTTTTTTAAATTACCCACTTTATAAGTGAGCGAGCCTAATTGCCCACATGCACTTTAGATTCACCAGCTTTGAAGGATTTTTCCCGCATGTGCATCAGTGTTCACGCGGTACCATGAATGAACGCGGGGATAAAGCAGCAGGCAGAGAAAAAAAAAACAAAAAATCCAAAGCTGATGGGATCAGAGAGACTGTAGATCAGTGACGCTGGTGGTTTTACCACAGCAGCAGGTGCAGCCATATGCGGGACAGAAGAATACTCTCACCTGCTGCGTGTGAAGACCCCGTCTGTCGCGCAGCTCGCCGGACGCAAAATACAGAGATTAGCGAGGCAAAAACATTAAACGCCTGCAGTATTTTGTATTAATCTGAGGCTTAGCGCTTGTTAAAGTGGTGTTTTATGGAGAGGGTTTTAACTAATGTGAGGAATCACTGTTACTTTGCTGTCACGTGAAAACTACCCTCAGCATGTTGTGATGTTTCAGCACAGTAGACCTGCAGACCTGCTAACAGATTAAATGTGCTTCAGTGATGGGACTGTTGGACGCATTTCACCTGTAAACTGAAGCAATTGCACAACATATAAGAAACGTGTGGACTTAATGATCGTGAGGAACTTGATGCTAACGCTTGTAACCCACACAGCAGGACAACTGAACCGACAGCAGAAAACAACACCTGTGTTTAGAAAAGTCTAATTAATTCATTTAACTCCAGTGAACCTCCTTCTAACAGCAGACAGTTTACTACACGGCGCCCTCTGGCTACGACACACAGATACTGCGACTTCCCTCATCATCCTCTGATGCCGGCACATTATTTGTCACAACACCTAAAGATCTAACGGACACACATGGATGCTGAATAATCAAAACTTCTTACTGTCACATCTACACCTTTTCCTTCATCAAAAAAAAAAAATCCACAGTTTACTTTCACCTCTCAGCAGATGAAAGTGAAAACAGTCTTCTAGCATCAAACTCTGCATTGGACTCATTAATGAGACTTTTTCAAGAGTCAAGATTCACTTCAGCACTTTTTAAACCCTTGCTGTCGTGAAATCCGTACTGACACGTTGCATTCATCTTCAACTATTGAAAGTATTTCAAAGTAAATGATATTTTTCATTACAGCTGCAACTCTGCGCACTTTTGTCATCATCTTTAGCACCAGACAGCTTTTAGGGTTAAATCTACACACTGAAGTTTTCCTGACTGAAATTTCCAAGATTTGACATCACAAGTGATAAAAAAAAAAAAGTCCAGTGTTTGATTCACACAATCAACACTCAAAATGTCATTTGTTAGTTAACATGTCTCTTAAATACTAATCCACATTTTATATTTGAAAGAAGTCAAACTTTTATGCAGCAAAGTTATCCAGATAACTCTGTAACTGTACACACGCCCTCTACATTCTAAACAATCTATTTATTTTTTGTTCTTGACATCTTTCCTCACTGTGGGCTCATTTTTCACTGCAATATAGAGTCTTGCATCCCTATGGAAACAGGATAACCACGGCTAGAAGAGGATTAAAATATCTCTAACATCAATCATTAAAAAGAAAAACAAAAGTTGAATTTCTTTGATTATTTATTTTACAAAAAAAATAAAAAAATGGAATCAGCATGTACACATTTTCAAAAATGGTGACTCTACATACTAAAGATATTTTATTATTTGCATATTTCATTTGTGTTGTATCTCCTCTCAGATGTACGTCGCTTTGGATAAAAGCCAAATTAAATTGTAGGACTTGTTTCCATGCTTGTCTTGTCTCTGTTCAATGTAAACACTGCCTGCGGTTCCTCCCAGCTGAGCTTCAAAGGTTATGAATTTTTGCAACATGACTGTTGGGTCACATTCGAGTCACTAATCATTTCTTGGTTGCACAAAGAGCACCATTTATTTATTTATTTATTTTTTACAGACTCTACCTACAGCAAACTGCTCTTTTGGTTAATTTTTAAATGACACATGGAGCATAAACATGACAACATGCCTTTCAAACCACCCTTGTGAGGTTCAGAGGGTTGAAGGGTTTCCTGAAGGATTCCATGTGGCGCCTTTTCTTGAGAGTGTGTGAGTTAGAATTTCAAGTAGTTGCATTGGTGCGAGTGCATGATGAGCTGTATTAGTGTCGCTGTAACCGGCGCATGCAGCTACAACTTCAGTGTACTGTAATAATTCTTAAAAAGCCGAGTGCACCTAAATACGCTGTTTTTTCCGCTTATAGAAAAGACTGCATGTAGAAAAAAATTACTGACTTCATCTTGGACAAATCTGACATCAAAACGTCCTAGTTTACTCTTTTTATTTTTGGTCACACACTTGTCTGAGCACACTGCAGCCACCAAGCAGCAGCTTCCACAGCCTGCTATGTGGGGCGTTTAGGGAGCATCGGTAAATTGTATCTATAAGAAAATGTTCAGCAAGTCACATGCTTTACCTGTGACAAAGTGGGAGGTGCAACAAAAAAAGTGAAAAAGTTCATCTGGAGCCCTGTGTTTGTATGGAAACTACATGGAAACTACGTCCATGTGGTGCTGTGCAGATACACCTTAAGACGTTTAGACTTGTATTCATCATGCAATACTATCTGATTGTCCAGAATCGACGGGGCAGCATGACAACAAGCCCAAAAATACACAGATCTCAACATAGGGGCCAGTGTGGGATCACATCAAAAACAGAGAAAGTGAGGCAAGTTCTCCAAGATGTTTAGAACAACGTAACTGCCAAAGAATGTCCTGGTTTTGTTTTAAAGATGTTCACACAGCAAATCTGAATGTGACATGTCTGTTTACTGCACTTTGTATGACCTTAACTGATCACTTAAATTGCATTATTTCTGAAAGCATCCTCACTTTACTTTCAGTTTGTAAAACTTGTGCACTGGTGAGTGTTTAGTATGATCATTATTATAGGTATTATCATTTAGTGTTCACATAGCAATGTCTGGAAGCTTGTGAGAGCTTGTTCACTATGAATGTCCCATTTTGTTTTTTTTTTCATGGAAATGATTAAGCCTGGTGGACTTTGCCACAAAGATTAAAGGCTCATGCATGCTAATGACCATGATGTCAGACATTGTGGAAAGACGGTCCAAACAAATAGGAAATTCCAATCCTGTTAGATTTTTCTTTTTACATTTCTTATTGGTTAGCAGCGTCTTTTTTTTCTTTTTGGTTTTAAATTAAGATCGGATGTTTTCCTAAGTAAGAAAGAAGTTCTCTGTTTACATGCTGTTTGAAAGTGTTCTTTGGAGCAAGTAAGCTGCAACATACATACTGCTGTGGAATATTTATGTCAAGAAAGATTGTGGAATAGTTTGATGGACAAAAACAGTAAAGATGCTGGCTCCAAACAACTCATTCCTAAACAAGCAGTCATTTAATTTATTGTGGTGAAATGTTAGAGGGGCATTCAAGATGAAAATAAAGTGTCTTGGAAAGTTATTTGCTACATTTTCATTTCGTGCCTTTACAGGAACGTTACACTATTTGTTAACAGAATTAAAAATCATAGTCAGTCGTGTGGAAGAAATGTTCAATTATGGAGCTAAAATTGAGAAAAAAACAAACATATAAGGGCTGAATTCCTGACCAAGACATTTTTTTCTCATGGTAGTATGTTTTGTTCACAATGAAGGTGTGGATACAGTGATTTCTTTACTCACCCAGAGGCGATAAGGGCACGTGACTGAGCCATGGCGATGCGCTGCAGTGCAGGACGGCTCAGCCCTGCGAGGCTTGACCGCGGCGGCAGAGGGGCTGTGCAGGCAGCAGCACCGGATGAAGACACTGGACCCAGGACGCGGGCAGAAGGCGAGGGTGTGCACGTGGAGGCAGCTGTGGAGATGAGAGGTGGGCCCGGGGCGGGTGCCGTGAGGGCGGAACAGGAAGTGGACAGGGAGGAAGAGGTGGAGGGGTGAGGCGGGGAGGTGGTGACCGATGAGGGTGCGGCGGAGAGGGGAGGGGGAGGCGGAGGAGGAGGCGGGAGGGGAGGTGGCGGGGGGCGATTGGAGGAAATGGAGAGGGCGGCAGTGGCTGAGCCAAGAAGGGAAAGCGAGTGGGTGAAGCCTCCTCCAAAGCCAAAGTTGGGACCGCCGATACCACTGGCACCCAAACCTCCTCCACCTCCCATTCCACCCATACTGAGGCCACCTGTCGCCCCGACTATGGACGTCCTGTGGGGTGAAAGTGACCTCGATAGGGTTGGAGGTCGAGGGAGGGTTAGTGAGTAAGACCCTCCTGGGATGGGGTGACTGCTTAGTTTGGGACTAGGTGGCTTGGTCTGCAGCGGTCTCCGGCCCAGCGTGTGAGCAGTCGACATGGTGCCTGCTTTGACACTTAGCACCAACATACACTGCTGGCAAGCACACGGTTGTCCCAAGGAGGTGATGGCCGAAGCGGGGAGCGCCCCGCTGGGGTACGCGCTCCCATTTCCAGTCCCGCTGCTGCTCATCCTGAGCCCCATGCCTACTCCGGATACATCAACGCCTAGTAGTCCTCCATGTGCAGGCATGGACGTGGGACCCCAGGCGTGATGGGACTTGGGTAGGGGCCCAGACACCAGCGGGTAAGCGAGGTCAGACCGGCGCTGGATGCGTCGGCAGCGCTGCGTCTGCCCATTGATTTGGGTCATGCTTTCAAAGTCAATGAGGTAGCAGAAACCCAGTGGTGCCAGGTCCAGCCAGGGCTGCTGACGATCACGTGCTGCCTGGATGGCGATGCCCACCTCCGTGTCGTACGCTGTCCAACTGCCAGCGTCGTTCTCCCACTCCCACAACCAACCCTGGCCTGGTGCTGATGTGGGGTCGTAGAAACTGCGTCGTACCGGTCGAAGGGTACCTGAGGAAGGGATCACAACATAAGAAAAAGATCCATAATCCATATGTGAACATTTCAACTAGGTGTGGTGTTTTTGTGGCTTTACTGCATGTCAATGTACATGACTACACATGTGGAAGAAGAGTGTAAACAGAAAGTTTCTGATCACAAATACTGAGCATCTTTCTCTCTACTGAACACCAACATGATGTTAGGTGATGAGAGAGGAGGTACGTGACGACACCAATGTTTGCTCTGCACAAGTAGAGAAAACCACTCTAACAAATTCAACATGTCTGTGTTTGCTTGCTAAGAATTTGGGCAAACAGGTTGCCCCTGGTAACAGCACACGGTGTTCTGAATTCTGATTGGCTGGCAGCCTTGATTCAACCCAAAGCTGGCTGTGTTTGCTTTCCCTGGGTGTCTAGAGAAGCTCTACAGAGTCTTGGTACTGTAAAGCCTCCACATATCAATCATTTCCCTATAAGTAGACCACATAAGATGGATGAGCTTGAGATGAAAGTGAAAAAAAAAATCTTTACTTTTATATTTTGCACTTGATTGTTTCTCTTTAATTGCAGCAAAAACAGCCGACAAACTGTGTAAACTTTTTATGACACACACTGCATTCTTCTGTGTCTTTAGTTAAAACAGTTCCAGTGAGTGTTAAACATACAGCAAAACAGTAACTCAACTCTACCTACTGTGTCAGAGTATCTGTAGACATTAAATAAAAGGGCCTCATTCATAAAAGCTGCTCCTGTTAACTTCATTTCATCAGACTCCTGAAATTCCTCCACACTCTTCTCCCCATTTTCCTCCTCCCACTGCTCTTGTATTTAGATCGGGGGCATCCCCCCATTTCAGGCTGTTAGGGTTTGGAAAACAAACTCACACAATGGCTTTTGGCAGCCAGTGCTGAGAGAGAAGGGCGACGTTGGGGTGTCTAACATTCCCTTCTTTGTCTTACGCTGCCCTGCTCATGAAGCTGTGCACGATGAATTCTGGTGTCCAGTGAAATGATCATTACTGATATTTACAGTAAAATGCTGTATGACTAAACACTTCAGCTGCTATTGTGGCCTCAGTGCTACATGCAAACACACACATATCCCACCAGAATGACTCACTTTCGAGCTGACATCTTTCAGCACCACAGATGCACAACACAGCTCCATGAATTTAATGTTACACTAAAAAAACTGGAACAGGTGGAACCTCTGAGAGGCTGTATTTTGGGGGGATTTAAACCAAAACAATGCCAACACACAAGATAATTACATGAAACAATTTGCAGCAAAGCACTCTCATCAGATCATAAAATACTGTTTCATCACTTGAAAAGATAAACATGAGCAGTAAAAAAAAAAAAAAAAAAAAAAAAGGCCTCTACCTTAGGCCCGGCTCCACCGTTACACCCTCCGCCGGGTGCCTCTGCCCCTGTCCTCTGTTTCTCACCTGTGTCTTGTCGGAACTGGTGCATGGAATGCAAATCGATGATGTACGGCGAGAGGCGAGAGTCCACCTGGCCGAGGACAAGACTACCACTCCGCGGGTCGCTCCGGATGACTGCCTCGATGTGATGACAGACAGCGGGGCTGTAGGGCCGCCAGCGTCCGTGCTCGTTCAGCCATTCCCATACCACTACGGCGGATGCTAGTAACATCCTACTCCTGCAAGGATGGAAAACAAAATGACAATGTTGTGGCATTAAAAAAAAATAGAGAGAGAAAAAAAGAAAAAGAGGAAGCGCGGAGGTGATGGGCATTTAAAGATACCCCGCTGCCTCTCCGCCATGCATCCCTGCGCACAGCGGCGCTGCATCCATCTTGAACAGTTCGCAGCCCAGATGTGTCTCCTATCTGGATGTAAGAATAACATTTCTGGTTGACAACACATGCATACTATACCTTCCATGTTTGTAGTTTCGGATATGCAGCAATTAGTAGCTCCTTTTTATCGCACGGGGGAAAACAGAGCGTCTCAGGGCGCATAAAGCCTTGCTGGATGGGTGCATTTTATTCCCTATGCAGATGAGTGACGTCTACTGAATCATTTCTCAGGCACAATCAAGTTTGGGTGAGAGCAGAAGATGCAACTTGGATGCACACGGTGGTGCGGCACACGTGAAATAGGTAACGGTAACAGAAGGACTGTGATGGTTGCGCTGAAAGGCTGCTTTTGCTTTCCTTCATCTCCTTCTTGTTTTTCCTCACAGGTCAGTGTAAAGGAAGCGTACTTATTTGGAAAGATGACTTTTAATATTTACCCGGTTTGATCGGCTCCAGTGTTTCCTCTCAATCTTTGTGGAACAATTTTGGTGTTTTAGAAATTATCCATCTGTCACTGTGAGATTGTCTTCAGTCTTGAGGTAAAGTCCCGAGTCCCGGTTATATATTTGCTCTGGTGATTTCCTTCAGTACACTTAACCTACTTTGACCTAGGCTTACCTATCGGCTCGTCCATAATGCCTCGATCGATGCCTCTCATCCACCTCTGGAAGAAACTCGGCCGGCGAAAAATGATATTCGCGTGCGGGAACCACGCCTCGAGGGCATCCGGCGTCCAATCAGATTCAAGCAGGTGCCGCTGTTCTCCAATCAGAAGCGTCTCCTCTCACACACTCGGTGTTCATGGTTGAAGCGTGCCATACCGTTCTGTTAAAAAAAGAAAAAGAAAAAAAGCTTCAATTAAGGATTTGTTTTACATCGATGTACTGCTTCCCACTGGTTCTGGTGCTTTAAATGTGCAGAAAAATTAGTACATACTAAGAGTGTGGAGATGCCGGGGATTGAACCCGGGACCTCATACATGCGAAGCATGCGCTCTACCACTGAGCTACATCCCCATATGCCAGTACAGTGGAAATACACGTATTACTACTACTACTACACGCATCATGTCCTGGAGTACATTTCACTGATATAGTCATGAAATAACTTTTAAGTCGCTCATTAAACATGAAAGTAAGTCAGCTCGTTTATGTGTAACATTTCGAGTTAATAGTGACACAGCTGTTGTCCTGGTCTGTTCTGATTACGACAGCAAAGATACATACATTATAATCCTATATACAGCCTTTCATTAAGAAAACATGTTTTTCTCTACATACAACTAGCAATAATAAATCTTAAAAATGCAATCTTGATAGAAGAACAGGACAGGTATAGTCTTGCTTTTTAGAGAATTGGCCCAAAAGTCTGAAAGCAGCAACAGGCTTTTATTTTGGAAGCCCACCACAGCAAGAGGTCTGTGGTTTTCTCTACGTGAGCAGAAGCATGCTCACCATGAACGAATGTATGAAAAGCACAAAATGTTGCATAAAGAAATAAAAAATAATACGGGAAATGAAGTGGTGCTCAGTCAAAACATTTCAGGAGGAGGATGTTCACACCCCAGCTTTTTGTGTCCTCCCACAATGTTGAAACCAAATCTCACTCATACCAGAACACAAGGTGACTCTAATCTGCCCACACGTTTGATCGTTCTGGAAGATGGGACCATCTAAAAAACACCTGATCTATGAACAATGATCAATCTGTTATGTTTGATTAACTTATTGTTTTCAATGTAACAAACAATACCAACACCGCTGAATCTTTTGAGTTTTTCTGTTTTTAATTTTCATGCAAAGATTAAAGATTTTAAGCAACATCAAAACACATATGGCACAGTTCACAATATCAAAGTCAACACAGTTCTTAACAAATATTCAAAATCCAACATAGTGTACTCTGGTGTATTTCTAACAGCTTCATTTACTTTTCATCCTGATGCCTCCAGAAGTGGAGATAAGAAAATGAGGTCATCTCCCCGGAGAGTTTGGGAAGTTTTTGGAGTCTGGATGGAATTCAAAACTTACACATGGTGAATGTTTATCAGCTGATTTCTACACCATTTCACTGGACTGACTATTTTTTCCCCCCGTCAAAGCAGGAAAGCAATTAGATCTTTAAATTGGAAAATAAAATAAAAATATTTTGACAGCTCAACCTCAGCATTTTAGCAAATTTACAAATTTATTTACTTTAGCAATTTCCCTGAGGTGTTGTACCGACGGGATCAATAAAGTTTTATCCTAAGTTTTATTCTAATTTTTACAATCTTGGTTACAAAAGTGACGATCAAAGGAAGGTTCCTTGTACTTCATGTTCCCTGATTGTCCTCACAGTGCGGTCACATCGTCCCCTTTACCCTCACCTCCCTCTTCTCCAGACCAGATGGCACTTCCAGAGAACTGCTTCAGGTCTATCAACAATCCGGCCCCTCCGCTCGCTTCCTGTTCATCTTGCTTTTCTCCCACTTTCTCCTGCTTTTCCTCCTCTTTCTTCTCCGCCTCTGCGTTTGCCTGTGGCGCATCTGTTAGCCTGGCTTCCTCCCCTTTCTCCGAAACATCCAAACTTGAGTTATTGTTGGAAGAGTTGCCTGCTTTACCGCATGCCAACATGCTATCCTCCTCTTGTTCCTCCTCTCCCTCCGTGTCACTCCCCTGGTTACCACTATCCTCCACCTGCTGCTCCTCATCTTGGATTTCCTGCATTTCCTCTCCATGCTCGCTCGCTTCACTGCGAGGCCACAGCTGGACGCCGACGCATGTCTGCACCGCCAATGCTGCCCCTCTCACCCGGTCCCTCACCCCTCCTTCCTTATAAACCATGTTCCTGACTGTATATTCTCCATGAGTATCCCTGTTTAACTTTTTGTAAACGAAAATCAGCGAACAAATTAGGACTACTAGCAAGAGAACAAGGAGCAACACAGTAGTATCAGAAGCATCCATGGTGGCCCCAGACTCGCTCATGCCTGAAGTAAGGAGAAAGAAGAGGTTCAGCTTTAGAACGGGCACACTTTGGACATTGGGTTCTATCAATTTTGTTAGTTTTGGTGGGATTGTCTGCTAAACAAACAGTTTACAAACTTGGGAAATACTTTATCATCATTCTTGCTGCGCTAGATGCGGCAAAATCAACACACATCTGTTTGGTAAATATGTAGCTGAGATTAGCAGTTGGTTAGCTTAGCATTAAGACTGTGTGAAGCTAAATTCTATTCCAAGTATCCCAACAACCCATTTTACATTTGTGTTTTCGTACAGACCAAACAAATGAGACAAATGACACGTTGAGAAGCTTTGGCGCTGCTACGTGTAGCGAGGCTAGCTGTTTACCCTTGGTTTTTGTCTTTATGCTCGGCTAAGCTAACTGGTCAGTCTTTTTATTTAACTCTCAACAAAAAATATAAAAAAATATATTTCCAAAAGTGTCAAATTATTTCTTTACCAGAGCACCGCAAAGTATTATTGAGCTCTAACTCCACTATAAAGTTAAATTTTCATTTGGAAATGTACGTACCCCGTAAAAGGATTCCTGTTGAGTAGGAAAATCCCAAATGGCTTGTTGTCTCTGGTACGGGGCGTTTCCTGGTACTTCTAAAGCAGCGATGAACTAGTCATCCAAAGATCCACCAGTACATTTACATTCAGAATCTGTGAGAGAGAAAAAAAAGAAGAAAAGAATAAAGTAAATGACGGCTCACGGTTCTTGCAGTTAAACCTTAACATCTTTCAACATTGCACTGAATGACAAAGGCGCCTTCGTGATTCACTATCAACCGAATACAACACCAGAGAACAAAAGGATCAAGTTCATTTCGCAAAAAAAAAACTTTAGAGCTGACATGTAAGTAATGATAATATCTGTACTCACGCTGTTGATGTAACAGGAAGTCTGTATTTTCTTCTCTTGTCTTGTTTAAATATAAGTTTACTGCATCGACTGGAATGACAGGAAGCTATGCAGACCGTTTGCAGCGTTGCTGGTTTCCTGTCAAAATGATAACTGAACAGCATCAGTCAGCCTGCCACACGAGGAAACATCTTTAGCCAGGGTTAATCATGCTGATGTCAAATATAAAGTATTGCCTATAAATACTAGTTTAAAAACAGAAGTGCATATGAAGCTGAAGAGCATTGAAGGTAGCTCACCTACATGGTAAATTAATGCCTGCAGTACTGCGACTATAAAAACCCCTCCCCGTGTAAAATATGGTATATAAACACTTCAAGTATTTAAAATCATGTTAGGGTAGGGTAGGGGGAAAGCCAACAAACTATCAGAAAACCTGTTACTAATGTATTGACAATTTCAAAGTAGGAAGGATATAAACTGCTAAAAAAAAAAAAAACACTCTTACCAAAGTTGTGAGCGGAGATTATAGTTTGGTGACAGACAACGTAGACTGGTAAGAGAGGGACTGTTTAGGGTGTGTTCCCACAGTGCCACAGCGCGTGTGCAGAGGATACAGAAAGAACACGAAGAATGGGTGTGATGCATGCAATGTGGTGAAGAAGAGCTGCAGCCTTTTGATGGAGGTGCAGGCTTGAAGGAGGGGGGCGGGAGGGGGAATCGAAGAACTACAGCAGGGTGTAGTAGAATGCGCAGATAAGAAACAATTATTTATGGAAAGAGGAAGGTGATTATTTAAATTTTTTTGTTTCTTCAAGGTTGAGTTGTTTCACGTCAGGATACAAAAACAGGTGCAGGTTGCAGATAGATAGATAGATGGATAGATAGATAGATAGTAAACAAAACATTAAAATGAATTGATACAATAAAGAGAAAGAAACTAAGGTGTATATTTGACTATTTACATGTATATCAGTACTACTTCCTAGCACCTTAAAGTGCGATACGAGCCCAAGGCAACCAAATAACTAAACTACGATCCAAAAAAAGTGTTTTGATTTAAGCAAATATATAAAGCTTAGTATTATACAGTGCAGTTGTAAGATTTGAACCTATCAAAAGAACACACAAACTTCAAAAGCTGCGCACAACTTCTGAATGTGAAACCTGTTGGCCACATCCTGTTTTTTTGCACCGCTGGCCGGGCTGTTACATCTCCTACATCAGACAAAGACAGCTAAATCAAATCTGCACTGTAACTTTAACACTCTATTCGACTGTGCTATCTCGATAAAAACAAATGTACAGATAGACATCTCATTGTGGAAAAAAAGGCTATTTTAAGTTTCACAGTTTTCATCATATTTAATTTGACTTTCAATGTTATGTTTGAAAACTCTGCAAACTTAGCAGAAAATGTAAGTTTTGTTATTGAGTTCCAAATAGTTTCTAGCTGTTCCCACAGTCGTGCTTTAGATTAAACCTTTGTGCGACTTTGAATGTACTACGTCGCAAATTTGTTCAAAAGGATTCAAATCTGGGCTTTGACTAGGCCCGTCCATCAGCTCAGGTTCTCCAGATTCCTCTTTCTTGGTCACATAGTCTCTTTGACGTATGTCTGGGGTCACTGTCTTGTTGGTGTGTGAACGGACGACCAATCAGATTCAGCC